TTGGCCGGATGGTTCGCCGACGGATTGCGGCGATCCTCTTGGATCGCGGAACGCAGCTCCACCGCAGTCCACTTCTCGTTGATCCATAGATTCCGGGCCCTGGCCTCCGCGAGGAGCTCTGCCTTGGTGAACTCCGACAGCGTCTTCGGACGGGTCACGATGGGAGCTGTCAGGAGATCGGAGCTGCTGGCCATCTGCGCAAGGAAGGCAAAGTGCGGGAGGGTCAGGCATTGATCGTCGTCTACGAAAGACACTCCTTCCGATCCAAAGAACAGGGAAAGAAGACTCATCTCGAGGCTCACTCCACAGACCATGTACGGCAGGAAACTCCTTGTGACTCTTACACGACACAGCATTGACACTCCGAACGGCGCCCAAAGTAGAGAGTAGCTTGTCCTTGTGGGGTGTGTTCTGGGTCCTCCAGTGCATAGGGCTAAAGAAAGACCTCCGCGGAATCACATGCACCCGGACCAGGAAATCTTCATCTTCTATCCAGAAGTCGTTCGAGATATTTGTAGATGACCACCATGCAGCAAAGGTTTCGGGATTGAAGTTCACATCCAGCAACAAGTTTCTTGTAGCGATCCCGACTCTCTTAGAGTAGAACAGGGGCACGTAGTCTAGAGCTGGCTTACCACGAGGTGTTCGAGGAAATGGGGTTCCATCATTCTTCATCACCTCATCTTGTACGTACACCATCCAGCTAGTCAAACAGCTCCTGGATCCCGAAGACGTCGAAGCATCAACCCCATCATCACCATCATCGCATAGACCCCTGCTCGCACGTGCACTCATGTATGGCTCAGCTTGCGGGACAATCTTGATCTCCGATGAGTCCCACTCGGGGCCCTGGACGAATGCCTTTGGCAGGGGCGAGGGCTTGATCTGGAAGGCCGGATGCCCCGTCTCAGTAGTTTCCAAAAGTAGATCCTTCACGCCAAGGGCCTTGAAGGTAGCTCGATTTTCCGCAACATCCAGAAGCATCCCCATCTTGCCGAGAGCACCGCGGGAGACGAGGAGCGGCACATCCCCGTTTACCACTGCCACCTTCAGTCCAACCTTGTAGCCGCCCATCTCAAAGCACAAAAGGATCCCGTAGCTCGCCACGAAAACTTTTGAAGCACCGAACTTGAAAGCCTCGCGGCACGAGGTGAACTGAGGATCACACTCAAGTCGACGGGCCTCGGTCACGTAGGTGTCCACCCAGGCCGCGCCAGCCACCGAGCGCGAGCATGCCGTGTCCGTAATGGCCAGCAGGTCCTTGTTCTGGTAGCCCTCAATCTCCCAAGTCACATGGACAACGTGGCAGGGGTACTGGGCCTTCGCGAACTCCTTCGTGTTCCCGCTTGTCCTCGCCGTAGATCCCGTAGTCGCCGAGCTCGAAACAGTTCCCTGTGCTTCAGAACTTCCACGGTTGAGGGGACAAATGGCGTCCTTGTGCCAATGGCCCCTCCGTTTACACCCGGCACAAAACGACTTGGCTTTTGCAGCCTTCAGCTTGTCCATAGCCAACTGCTTCAAACTTTCAGGGTCGCTGCCTCGGAGTTTAGCGTTCTCGCGGTACCGTTGTTTAGCCGACTCATGGGTCATGAACGCCTGGTAGAGGTCTAGGGCCACCTCTTCGCTCACACAGTCCTCCTGCTCGTCCAGGTCAAAGATGCCCTCCTCGTCAACCTCGTCGCCCTCATCGATGCCTGCAAGGTTCGCGGTAAAGGGCTTGCGGGGAGTCCATTCCTTCTTGGGAGCACGAGGTTGGTTCTCCCAAGGCTTTCGGAGCCCCCGATCGTGGACGATGGCAGC